TGACGTGAACGTCCTGAAAGCAAGAATGCTTTGTACACTACCGGAAAGTTCGAGCAGTAAAACTATACCAGCAATTTTATATTTTCCTTTTTCTCAAAACTGTTTTTAGAATATATTGCCTTGAGCTGCTTTGTTTTAATTTGTAAAAATGTCGTATTTAAAGCTGACTCAACCGTTTTAGAAAAAACGGTAGAAAACCGGAGAAGAGTTGGAAAATATGATAACAATCTGCAGTTCCCTTTCTCTTTGAGATATTATCAACGAATAGTTGGCAGACAAAATAAATTTTTTGTCGACGCTGATTTAGGCTGAATAAAAAGTGTTTATTAAATTTTTAGATACTTTCGAAGTTCTATGAAGATTTAAGGTAGATCGATCATTCTAGAAAAAAGCTTCCATAAATCCACAAAATGTACTAAAAAGATGTCGCTTATTTTTTTTTTTAACAACCGATTAGGTGACAACACAAGTTTGTTTATTGCCCAAGTCGACCTATCAGTTTTTTAAATGCACTGTGCCAATCGCATAGACTTTGTTGTACAAATCTTACAGGAGATGCTATTCAAGACTTCTTATTATTTGGTAAATGTGAAAAAAAAATTATGCTGCATTTCCAGGCTTTCGATATTCAACTCGTATCGACTTTCTTTTATTTGACCGATACTCTGTATGCTTCCCCATTTACATTTTTCTCTCAGCCCAACTTAGTTGTTCAGAATCCTTACTAGAACTCTCCGGAAAATAGAAGAATGCATTAAAGCTTAATAATAAATTTGCTTAAAAGGGTAATTTCACGATGAACTAGGAGACAATGCACCTATCTCTGCTTATGTCAATATTGTCTGCACTCCTTATTGTTACTGCTGGAAGTTCGCTATAAGTAGCTAATTTCCTGTACATTTGCTGTTAGAAAACGCACTTACGATGTCGTTCATTTATGCGGTTCCAATTTTGACTTATTTAAAAAATTGCAAAAAAAGAATGTTCAACATTCTTGTGTTTTTTTTTCACCATTAGACGACAACCCTTTCTTCACGTCCTGAATAAAATTTTTTTGTAATTTAACACAGTGGCGAATGAGTAAAATATTGTGTAAGGCATTTACCCTTTTTAAACTTTACCAATTATTGGGATAAGACATTGAATTCAGTTTAAATGTCTTAGGTTCTAAGTAAGACAATTATTTTAATCAACTTTGAGATAGTGCTGATATGGAACATTCTTACGTACGTTGCATGTTTCATGCGGCAAAGTTGGAAAACTTTACAGTGAATGCCTTTTTAAGGAAAAATATTTTATCATTGCATTCATAAAAACCATGGTAATTGACTCACTTGAAAATTTTTTTGAAAATAGGCTTTGCAATCTGATTATAGCTACGCCTTAATCGAGTAGTGCGGTAGGATCTAAGACACTGTTGGATATTAGATGCTAGAGGGAAAAGACAAATAAATGTGAGGTTGAAGTTGAGAAAAACAAAACAGAAAAGCAGTAAGTAAAATGCCTCTGTTAATTGTAAGTGTGTTCTTTCTAAGCTTTATCTGTGGGTTTGCCAAAATTAATGGTTCACTGCGCAATCCTCATTTAACACTCAGGTCAAATAATTAAACTGTATGTGTAACTATAGCAAAACAAGCATTTCACCTTGACTTTTTGTAGAAAATCCAAATCGGAATGCTTAATTTGTTATTAAAATCTGGATAATGAGATGTTTTTTATGTTAACAATAAACCAAAGCCCACTTTCCAGCGCTCGAAAGTGTCTAGTTTTTCTTATCTTTTTATAAGAAGAATTATTTCAATAGCTGCTCCCACGTGAAGTTCTCGAATTTATAGGTTTACAAGTGTATGATATTGGTGTGTTTAGTGAACCATTATTGTTGAAAATGATGTTCGCTAATCATGTTCAGTTTCTCAATATATTTAAACATCTTAATAATATGCTTAGAAGTCAATAAGCTGAGGTCTAATTTGAAAAAAATAAAAACTTTTGTATTTATTTCTGTTGCACGGGAGAAGTTTGCGATTTTGCTTGTTAGCAACCTGTCAATATTTTCTCTTTTTTTCTTTCCACGTTGTTAAATTACGTAGTTACATACATTACTAACTATAAGACTGATATTTGTGCTTCACCTGAGAAATAATTTACTCAGCCTCTCAATTTGCCTACTTTCCCAAGAGACATTATTGAGTGATTACTACGTACTTCGGAAACCTCAAGTTTTTATAAACATCTACGTAGTCGTCTTTAATATTTCTCGTTTCAGATATTTCTTGTTTTCTTCTAAAGTATTTTAGAAGAGACACATCAAACAATTTGAAAAAAATTCTTGAAGTATCATTTATTTTAGCAAGTTTTTTTTTTTTGTAAAATCTATATGCAGTTATTTAGCTCAATAAAAAAAGAGATCATTTTGCTCAAAATATATAAGTTTATTTATAAAGTTTATGTAGCGCTAATTACATTATAGGTCTTTTCCTTTCTAAAAATAAGAAAACAAAGAAAAAGCAGCATTGAAACTTCTTATAAGTTTAGAAGATTCTAAAAATCAGAAAAAAAGTTTTTAAAAGCATCTTACGCAAAAAAATTTTTTTGCAGCTTATTTTACAGTTGAGCAAATGTGTTTAAGTTTTCTGTACACAAAAAAGCAAAAAATTTGTTCTTATACGCTTTTTATTCTCATCACCTAAATTTTTATTGCTGGATTCCTACTAAATGTCTTTTAATATTATTATAGATTAAAACTTTGATTTAATTAGTTTTTTTTAATTTTAAGTGAAAGACAAGAAAACAAAATGCAAGTGAGAGTTATTACGAAAGGCCTATTTCTGCAATGTTATGTTCCGGTATTTCTTATAATTATCTTTTCTCTCCGACTTTACCTGAACTTTCTAAATGCTAAACAAATGGATAATTCTCTGGCAAAGCTTGAAAAATCGGTAAAAATAAAAACGTTCTTCTACTTAAAAAACTTGAAGAAGCAGCACGGTTTAAGAGCAGTAATTAGATTTGAAATTAAGACCAAAATTTGATCAAAAATAATTTATCAAAAACTGATGGCTGACTCAATATCGTGAATTTCAATCTAAATATAAGCAGCTTAAGAAATTATGAATCGAGTGACTATTCTAAAAAATGTAATATCAAAAGATTATCAACATTAAGGTGGTTCTCAGAACCAAATTCTTAGCCATCAGAGAGTTAAGTAGGGTTGACAGCTGAGTAATCGTCATTGCTCTAACCTGTTTTGATTGTGTATCTAAAAAATTTCAGTTGTATTTTATGGACGCCTTTCTGGTTCACGATAATGAAATAAGGGTTATTTTGATGACAAAATGTGAAAATTCTCCAAAAATAATGCTCGGGTATGGAAGCGGCCAAACGAGTTCCTTAAAGCTGCGGTTGCTGCAAGCGTGCCCTGTCAGCCATCTACCAAAGTAAGAAGTTTCCCCATCTGGTGTTTTAGCTTGATAATAGCGTTCTTATAAAAAGCTTTATCGACGCAAAATTTGTTGATAAATAAAGACTTACTCTTGAGACATTCTTGTTTTCCTTGGAATTTGTGCTTCTGGAAACAGTTTCCTCTCTTGCGACACCTCGAATGTGAGCGTGGAAAAATGCCGTAGCAAAACTTTTACACTTCACAATGGAGCAGTTAATTAGGATAAGTTGCAAAGTGTTGCACTAGAAAAACTTCGTTTTTTATCAGAGCAATTTCAAGCTAGGTAAAGTTTACGCAGTAATACGCAGGCACTAAGAGAATCTTTTTTTGCGAATATTTAAACTATTATTTATTTTAATAGTAAGAACCTTCTAAACAAATGTAAGCTTAAAATTGGAATCTTTATCTTTTTACGTCTATTGAAAGAAACATCGTGGTTTTAGACTACTTTGGTTCAGCAAAATTTCAAGCTGCTCTTAATTTTTGACAACAAAATTGCAAGTAATAGCGGAGTACATCTTAAACTGCACAATTAAATCTACCTAAAAACAATTAGAGTATTAATAATTTCTAAGCTGGTTTCGCCTCGGCGGGAAGTGGAACAGCAGAAACCTCATAAAATTGTAAGGATTTTGCAGAAGTACGTTGTAGCAGCATGATGTCCAAGAATTTGTTCTGCACGAGAAGGAAGGTCAGAAACTCATCTTTTCTGGTACTTGATTGAAAAGACGACTGGTATTTAGGTGCACGATGGCCGGAAAATTTGGAATAGCAAAAGGTTTTAACTTGCGTTCTATAATGAAGGTTTTGAATGGCAAAGAGCCGCTACAGGTTTTCCGCAAACACCAGCCTAATGTAAAAATATTGCTCAATCTGATCGACTCAAGGATAAAGAAAGCCGAAAAGCCAAAAAATAATCTGACTGTGTGTTCCCCTCCAGTTGTACATCTCGCCGACTGGACTCTTTTGCCAAAATACTTTGAGGCTGGTTTAGAATCGCAACGTGATGTTTCGAGTATTATAACTCGCCACTTTATCAAAGTTTCTCGTGCATTTGAAGCAAATGTCGTGCAAATCGTACTAGAACTCTGTTTTTTCTTTAAAAGATATCAATATTTCCATTTTTTTTGCTTTTATAGTTGTTATATCACAGAGTTGGATTGAGCACGGCGCAACAATGTTCTATATTTACCACCACAGTATGTCAAAAGAATTTAACGCTTTCCTGAAAATTTACGAAAATGATCTAACTATCTCGGTTAAAAGGGTGCACTGGAGCGTCCTCCCAGTGTCAAACGAGATCCCAGGATCAAGCAACCCAAATAATTTCATCATGCGAAATGAAGTGCATTCATTATTCTGCATTATAAGACTTACTTTATTCTCTTTCTATTTTCTCAGTTGGAAATGCGTACGTGGGCACGAACGCGTTATACTTCAACCTTTTCTTCACCTCAAAAAGATACAGTTTGGTTAATAAAAGTTTATCAAAGAATTGGGTCACTGTTTCCACTTTTGTGAATAGATTTTGGCAGCGACATACTCACTCATTTCTCTAAATGTAATCTAAAAGCTGTAAATAAGAGTTATTTTGATTTTTAGCAAATTTTGGCTTGGAATGACTGCGTGCTTCGGAGTAGAGGCAGAACCCGATACTTAGCTTTAGCAGACTTTGACGAAAATTTTGTTGTGTTTACTAATCAAACGTTGCTGTCGATTATTGATGACGTTCTAAAGGAAAAGCCGACCGTCGGATGTTTTATGTTTTTAAACTCTTTTGCATCTTTTCAGGTTTTTTTTTACGAACAATTACATAAACTTCCTGCTCATTATTTCCAAGGCTGGTGAGAAATGCTTTAGAGTTCATAGATTTTGAGAATGATTGGCAAAGAACAGAAGCTTTAGGAAAATTAAGTTTTTGTTCCTTTGAAATTGTCTGCAAATGTGAACGTTGCTAATGTTTTTAGAACGCATTCGTGAACATAACGCATCCTAGTCAAATCAGCTTTGATATTTTCAAAGAGGTCGGTGTAGAAATGAAAACTTATCCAGCTGGGATAAGAAGCAAGGTAATGTGTCAGAAACTTTATGAATGAGAATTTATAAGCAGCAGAGAAAAAAACTACTGTTTTCAGATTACTGTAGACGGTAAAACCTTAAAATGGAAGTTGGAGGTTTTAGTCTCGCAATTTTTATGTTGATTCTTGTTTTTTAAACCTTTATTTCAGCTATCTTCTTATATAAGCATTAGTTTAAAAACAAATAAAAAAATTTTAAAAGTTTTTCAAACATCTTTCTTTTAGAAATTTTTTTAGATGTTCAAAACATTTATAATAAACGCAGCCAATGCTTTTAAAAAAATATTGAGAATTTGGTGGATTTTATAGATACAGGATAAAAAACATTGAGGTTTTATTTATATGAAGAATTTCGTTTAGGTTATCGTGATTCCGGAGCGTGTCTCTGTCCAAACATTGCATGATGTAAAATCGTTAAACTTTGGGTACACAAAGCACGTTTTCGACCAGCACGTTGCTAAACTTATTCATCTGAGGTCTTTATTCTTAGCTTTTAAAAATTCTTTTTTTTGGAAATTTGAACTACCTGTCGTAAAAGTTTTTGTTTATTTTGCAAGATTAACCTAATTGTTCCGTATTTTTTGAAATTTTCGTTTATCACGCTTTTGAAGGGTATTAAATGTTTTAAAACTAAATCAGCTTATTGTTTTAGAGAAATAAAAAAATATTAAGTGAAAAAAATGAGAGCGCTTTGTATAAAGTGCTGCTGAATTTTTTGATAAGTTACTCTAACTTTTATCCAACTTTCTTTACAAGCAAGGTTGGAGAGTTTATACTAAAAAATAAATGAAAGTTACGAAGCACTATTGAAAGACGAAGTTCAAAGATGTTACACCATCATTGTGTTACAATTATTAAAGCTTTTTTATTTAAGTCGTTAAATGTAAAAAACAGGTTCTTACCTGCTGCAGAAATTGGTTTTCTTACAGCAAGAGAAACAGTTAAAGTTTTCTCTTTGAAAAAAAGTAGAAACCAACAAAATTAGCAATTTTATCTTCATACAGTTGCACTTATTGTGACCTGTAATGAGAAAGCTTTGAACACGTTCTGCTTTTAAACTTTTAGGTAGGCTTCAGATAGAAAGATGATATTATAAAAGGCTCTTTTCCGTGAAATAATAAGTAATCAAAACCAGTGCTAAAATCACGTGTATTATATGCCATCAAAAAATATCAAGTTTTTTTCCCACATTTTTTGTAAAATATAGTCTCTGTTGCAAAATTAGACTGTCTTTTTAGTTTATTAGTATTAGAAACTTCTTATAATAACTGAAGCAATGCCCGCCACGCAAATAATATTGTCTAAACAGCTGCAGCAATTTAGCGTTTATTAAGTCTAATTAAGACAGTAAACCAGTCGAGAAGGGCGATAAACACAACAGAACAGAATAGTGCAACAAAACTGTATTTTAACAGAGTATAAATCCAAAGTAAGTAAACCAAAATTTGGAATACCTCTATAATAGAGTTGCTTGGTGCATCATTTTGTGAAAGATTATGATACAACAGCTAAAAAAGAATAAAAGCCGATTAATCATGTTCAAAGTGTTATTAAGAGTACTTAACCAAAGTAGAGGTAAACAAGATGAATTATCTTTTTAATCTTACCAGAGTTACAGCAAAACTTCTATAATAGACGACTCTTTGTAACCTTTTCTTCTCAAGCAGTAGACAAAGCTTGAGCTTGTCTATTGTCAAGCATCTATAGTCTTCAGTACTTCTTTAGCTTTGCAAAGTGCAACTTTGTCGTTTACGGTATAACTTCTAATTCCGTATAGTACAGTTTCATCAATGATATGAAGTTATAAAATGTTTCGGAATAACTGCCCCGTCACTGATAGCTGGTATTTCATCGTGATTGATTTTTTCTTTGATTTTATTTTTTGGTTTCTTGTACCAGTCGGCCTCTGTTTTCTTTGTGTTGTTTGCTTTTTTTTGTTGATCTTTTCCCACCTTTCACGGACAGTCTCCAAGTCTGAAAAATGGCGTAACCGGATTGCAGAAATTTTGTAGTAAATATGCATGCAGAAAGTGTGGTAACAATTCTTCAATAAAAACCATGGTTATTAAGCAAAAATTTTTCTACTTTAGATTAGTACCGCTAGAAGAGAACCAGGTAGAATATCGCAGTCGAGCCCTTGCTAAGTATGTTCCAAAATGGACAGCTAGATATCGAATACTCTTGCAGGAAGAAGAAAAAAGATTGGAAAAAAATGGTTATAAAATTTACCCCAACCTGAGAACAGAAAAGTGGAAAAATGTCGGACTTCAGGCAAGCTACTTTACAAAATCCGCTCATTTAAGAAAACTCCTGTGAGCTGAAAAAAAAACCTGCTCTTTTACAGTTTCTTGATTTTGCTTCTATCTGTCGCTCTTTTTACGAGGTATTACATTACAACTGAGTAAGATTAGATTTCTCAGAAATTTATAAAGTGCATGAGTAACTTCCAGTCTTCTTCCTTAAACTTATAGTTTCTAAGGTGTTGCTCTAAACAAATAAAAGTTTTCAAAATTTGATTTTGGATTCGCGTGTTGCTTGCCTGCACATTCTCAGAGCTCCAGTTCCTTTTTAACTGCAAAATACTCAGGAGATTAAAAATCGGAGATATGTAGATAAGACAGGAAAATAATTGACTGTCTTTTTTCTGTTAAATAGCTTTAGAACGTTGCGATCGATAATAACTGATAAGTTGCAATTACCTAACTAGTTCAAAATAATTTCGTTGAAGGCATTTTTCAGAGATTTGCGTAAAAGGTTTAGAGATAAATACCAAACCACAAAGCAAAAGAAAAAGTAATGTGAAAATACATTCAACATTTACATTCATTACAATTCAGCTGTAGGTTTTGAGAAGTATAGACACGTATAGATTTATTCAGCATCAGTCAGTTTTTACTCTGGTTCTTTCCATCAACCATTAGACATGTTCATGCAGGCTCTGCTATCAAATTCTGAAGAACAAAACCTTAAAAAAATATTAGAAAGAAAAAAAAACAGAAGAAAACTTATAGATTAAAAACGCTACTTTTTGCAAATTTTCTTGCAGTGTTTTTCTATGTAATGTTTGCTTATTACGAGCAGCTTATTTTTTTTCTTAGAAGTTTATAAAAATTTTACTATTATACAGGCAATAAAGGAGAGCCGTGATTGCGGTATCAAGCTGTACAGAAATACAATGAAGGAATGCGCATCAAACTACAAGTGCTTTGATAGAATATCTTCTGTAAAGAAGTGGGAGTGGGTATATGGCGAAAACAGATGGACTGTTCTCTGAACTCACCTCTACTTGAGCTTTTGCAGAAAGAGTGCTGGTGTTGATTAAAAGAAACAAACTGATTTATGCTGACAAATGCACATCAACCTTTACTGTTGAGAAACCATTTTCCTGGAATGTTAAAAAGAGTTGGCTTTCCCAATTCTTTTTTACAATTTTTTATTGACATTACGAATGTATGCCAGAATGCAGTTCTTTGTTTGTAAAATTGCAGAAAAAAATTTAGTCCTAAATAGTAGCAAAAAATCAAATTTTGCTCTGAAAAGCAAAAATTCTTTAAAAATGACGGTAAACGGCTGTCTTTTGTCTAGCAAACAGCGCTAACGATCGAAGCTTATAATTTTTTGCAAACCAGTGTCTTAATATTGCCTAAAATAAATTTTCTTGTAGAAACTTCTTATTTTCAAAGAAACATTAAATAAACAAAAAAAAAATGAAAGAAATAATTTGTGATGAAAAAGTAAACGACAGTAGTAATTAATTAAACACTGTTTTTGCAAAAAATTTGTCAGTGTTCCATCACTAGAAAATTTCAGAGCCGTATCGTATAAACAATAATATAATGATATGTCAAAAAAAACATTAAAAGACTAAAATTTAAGTAAAAAGTTGAAATCTTTTTTTTTGAAATTTTTAGCATAGAGCGCTACAGTTTGTCTTAAGAAATAAAAGTTGTAGGTCGTCCTTAGAATTGCTTTTGGAAAGAGCTGATGTCAGTGCAAGCGATAGCGTCTAAGTAATAACTTTTTTCTGTATTTTTTAAAATGACGACTACATTATAGAGTTTTATAAAGCTAAAAAGTAAAAACACTTTGAATAGAAAAAAAGATTCTAAAATAGATTAAAAGTTCTCAAAAAAGAGAAATAAACAATGATAATGTCTAAAAACTTTAATCACAGTTCTCTACAAGTAAAATGACTTGTAAAATTGAACAATTTTGCAGAAAAAAGTGACTTTTTATTAAAACTTGTTAAATCAAAAAAAATTTATGTGAAAGCAGAAAAAAAATATATGAAAAACAACCAAAAAATAAAAATAAAAAGAAACATAAAACCTTGTTGTTAACAGCATTTCAAATTTAGTTGTAAAACGAATAATTAATGATATAAGAGAGATTTGATAATAGATAACAACTTAAAATTCATCTTACATAACCTTTTTTCAACTCCAACTCAATAAAACGTAGGTTTTGCGCGAACAGCAGCTTTATTAGTAATGTTTTTCACATATATTTTTCACTATGATTTTTATGGATCTGTTTTCAAACAATTCGTCTGCCTGTCACCAGACTGATTTTTTGGTAATGGTTGTCAATATTTTTATTTTGCGCATAAAAATTAAGGT